GAAGGTCACAAAGTTAGAATGCCAGGCCTTTCTTTCATACAAAATAGTCATTCCTTTCATACAGGGTGACAAAAGCAGATCTCAGGTAGATTTCTCACTCAAATTTGAGATCTTTTATTCAATGCAGCTACCGGTATGCTATAAATGATCTTCTCCATGTCACTATACGTGTATACAGAAATAAAATATGGGTGGGCCAGTGGTGGGAAAAGAGGTGGGTCAAATTTTTTGGTTTAAAAAGGGAATGTACAATGTACATGTACATCATTGGACTTTTGCTGTAATTTTCAGAAATGAACTATTTGAGGGGTTAGTATAATAGATCAAATATTGTTACACTGACATGTTTGAAGTTTTGTGTTCGAAAATGCTGGGAAAACCCCCAAAAAACACAAATGGTGGAGTAGTCTGGTTCCCTGACTCCACTAAAGATAAAATGGATCAATTTATAGATGCCGGAAAATTGTAAGGTAAGGGAACCAGTCTAGCTAAGCTGGCCTGCACCCGCTCATGAACATGCAACCAATAGCAAACAAAATTTGGACTGAACAAAAAATATGGTGAATTTGGAGCTGTAGTTGAAAAGTAGTTAGGTTTTTCCAACGGTGGTCCGCCGACCACCGTTGGAAATTTATACAAAAATACCATTTTCTTGAAAATGACTTCACACCAGGTGCAATAATTTTACAGGATGCTTTAGACTGTCATTAACCAACATCCGAGTATTGGTACATGTATTTTGCAAAAGTTGGTAGTTTTATTTTTCGATGTTTGCAAATGTTGTATATTACCTTTAAAACTTGCAGGAAAATGAACTGTGTGGGGATATTATCAACTTGAAAAGAAGGCTTTGCTTTGCAGCTGCACTGCACTGCACTGCTGGTACAACGCCAAACAACCGGTGGCAATAGTTTGGCATTTCGCCTTCAACTTCTATGTCTCAGGTTTCGATTCCTGCCTTTGGTTTTCAGTCCCGGACTGATTCTGTGCGTTTTCCCGGAATATTCTTCTTGGGTTTTCCCTCCCACCTCTAAAACTGTACATCTTCTCATTGTCTTCTCTGGCCACAGGTTTCTTCAGGCTTGCGAGCTGCAGTGCCTAGGGCGCTTTTGAGGAATCCTTGGTTTCATTACCAAAGATAAAATAATAAATAATAAATAATAACATGTGTTTAGCATAGCACTGCAAGTCTCTATAATCCTGAACATTGGTGTGGAAACACAGACAATTTTACCACTCATGTCTGTTTTATTTTCTTTAATCAAGAGGCCTTCATCAAATGGAGGTGAACAAGCACGTTGATGTAATTACGTACATGTACATCATTACAGTACTACACACATCAGGTTCACAAACATAGCTGTCGAAACACAAGACAATTTCAACTACTCATGCCACTTCTATTTGCGTTAATGAGTCAAATTCATCAAGAGTGGGTGGCCACGCACACGAGTCATTATCGACGTGCAATGTGCTTGTGAGTGTACCACACACTTCAGGGCGGGCACGGGGCACCTAATGCAATCAGGCTTAGAGCAGAAAGCAATTACAAAAACCACTCGTCACTGTTGTAGATTCATAGAGTCTCGAATACCGTACGCACTGCATGGCTTGCAGCAAAATCAATTCAGAGGACTTAAAGGGAAGATACAACATTTGCAAGCATCAAAAAATAAAACTACCAATGCTGGACTAGAAATACCTTGCTGGACTGTTAGTGAATGACAGTGTAAAGCATCCTGTAAAATCATGGCACCTGGTATACTGTCATTTTCAAGAAAAGTGGTATTTTTGTATCAATTTCCAATGCTGGTCGGCCGACAAGCGTTGGAATACCAAATACTGGCCCCAATTGGCCATCGCACTTGTTTGCAATCGATTACACACCTATGAACGGGTACAAGCCAGATAGACTGGTTCCCTGACCTTACAATTCCCCAATGTACATCTATGTAAACTGCTCTGTTTCTTCTTATATGGAGTCAGGGAACCAGACTACAGGAAAGTGATTGTTTTTCTTGGTTTTTATAGCATTTTCAAACCCAAAACCTCAAAAAAGTCAGTGTGACTACATGTATATTTGCTATATACATGTATTTCCAACCCCCCAATTCCATCCATTTCTGAAAATTACAGCAAAAGCAAATGATGTATATTCCCTTTAACGGTAGAGTAGATCATTTGTCATTTGGGCATTTGTTTCGTTTGAAGCAACAAAAGTGCTCAAAATCTAAAGACGGGTGCTTTTAACAACTAAGTTGATGAAATTTTAGCTCTGTTAATGCTGTATGTTCCAAGAATATATACTTGACTCATGTTTGAAACTTGACTCATCTTTCAAAATTACCTTTTTTTTAAATTGTTTTCTTCAAAATGATAGCAGGCCAGAAGGTATAATTTCACAGGGAGTTTAGTGCCATGATGATCCTCTTGCATCCAGATGAATTTCTGCCTTGTTTTGAGAAAAGTCCATTTTGGCCAATTTTGACTAAAAGTGTATTAAGGCTAATCCCTTGCATTTTTTTCCAATTTTGCCCAAAAAATTAAATTGCTTGAAAGTTGCTAGAAAGATGCTTTAAAGGCCCTAGAACACATTTCAAATTGATTTCTGGACAGATGTACCGTTAAAGTTACCATCTTTTAACCAAGTAAGGTTTTTAACAATAATTAGGTCTAAGGCACTAATGGGGCACCAAATGAAGAATAATTAATTATGGACGATATGCGAGCTTTTAGGAGTGCCTTGAATGTATGCAGTGAGGTGGTATCTCTAATGCATTAGGTTGTTTCTGAAACAAATAGAGGATCGGGGAGGATTCTGAAAGGTTAATTATCAGAATAAAATGCAAATGATCGAATATTAACTATGAGAACAGCTGCACAAAAAAATGGACATGTTCTGTTACAATGCTGACCTGCTACAGTAACAGGACATCTTTTGTGCAAACATTACTAAAAAAAAATACAGGAAAATAGCAATCCAATAGGATTGATATTGCAGCACAAAATGGAAGACAGTTACCTTTTAAAGCCTTATGCGTTATGTAAACTCCTTTTAAAAGGTTATTTAAATTAAAACGTATCACTGCCCGAGGATTATTTGCAGTGTGTCCAGACTTGACACTTACAGAATGTGACAGCTGACAAATTGATATGACAACTTAAAATCAGCAAGACATTGCCTGCTTCCATCATGTCTGTGTGCGTAAATCTATGGATTTGGAAGGGCATTTGAAAGGAAGGAATACTGAACAGTTTACGGCTGTTATTTTATTATCGTGCTTCTTTGGCGCTTGTCTGTAAAGATTAAATTCTTCGTGCTCTCATCATGATTTAGCAATGGAGCATAATAAATGTAAGTATCATGTGTACATGTAGATAACTACTGAGCAAAACATTTTTATGAGATCAACTGAAGCTACGGCAAAGGGAAGATAAATATAATTTCAACAAATTGCTTACTATGGACACAGCATCATGCATACAAACAGTGTACTTGTAAACATATATGCTACTGCAAGAGCTGAACCTTTTTCCTAGTAACAAACAGAAACTGCTGTTTTACAATGTCAACAGAAACTGCCGTTTTACAATGTCTGTGACACCGATTCAAGCTTTCGATAGTTTCTCAAGTTACTACATTTAAGAGCAGTACAAAATACTTACTTCACTTACTTCTGAAGGGAAGGATTTTTTTAGCGTCATAAAATACATATTGTGAGGGGCAAAACATTAAAGGCCAAAAAAAAAAAGTCTCCGGTTTCCGGTATGGAGCTTGCCCAAAAAGTGGTGCGACGACGCGGCTTTTTTTTTTTTTTACCTGATTTTTTTGCTTCAAATGTCGGCTGATGACTGCAAATGGTGCCCGACGAAACTTAGTGCAAATATATGGGAGTCCAGAGAGGCCACATAAAGCTTATTCTCGATCATAACCCCATCTAAAAACACGTTAAAATTGTGCAGCAGCAGGATTCCAGTCAAACCAGCGGTTTTGAGACATCATCTTTCATTGAAAAAAAACCTTTTTCATTTTGCTGACGCGCATGGCTACGGCGACGCGCGCGCATACCAGAAACCGGAGCCTTTTTTTTTTTGGCCAAAAACTACCTTTTCCAAATTTTTTTTAACAAGAAATGGATTTGGTAAATTAAAACAGGACAACGGTCCACGGCAAACTTGGTAGTCAATGGTAAGACACGTGCACTAGCAGTCAAGTCGTCATTGGTTCGAGTCTGTGTTGTGGTCGAATCCATCACAAGTCCATCGTAAGTCTAGTCACAAGTAATTCCTGAGTCGAGTCTCAAGTGACAGAAGGGCAAATTCCATCTTATAAAATATGTTTGGTTGCCGTACCCGTAGCTACACTGGACTCAAACCCGCCACTCAGCCCTGGCAAGCTTAAAAGTGGTTAAGCAGGGTTCGACCTTAACTTTTTTGTTCACTAGCCAGCCGGGCTACTGAAACAGACTCTGAACTAGCCCGGGGGCATTTTCACTAGCCCGCATTTCTTTTATAGCTCAAATACAAAATGCCGTATTTTCCGGCTCAATTCTGAGGCAATTTTGTCAGTGTTTTAAATAAACAGACTTAATTTAACCCTTTAAAACAGTTGATAAAGTTAGACACAAATTGAGGAGGTTTGCTTTCTGAATTTAATGATTTATTTCTTCCTGTCCTTTCATCTTTGCCGTAGCCCAATAATTTTTGACTCGCCAGCCGGGCTACTTAAGGAACAGGTTGACTAACCCGCCGCTGTTTTGACTAGCATTTGGCTAGCGGGCTACCGCTAATTTCGAACCCTGGGTTAAGACGTCTGCACTCGTAAGCAGGAGGTCGTGGGTTCAAGTCCCACTCGAGTACGCTTTTTTCTCTTTTTTTTTAAGCTTGCAAGCCCCGGTTAACACTGAGAACAGTGTTATAAAATCAGCCGCGAAAGGAACTTTGAATAGCTTGTGACATGAATTGGGTTTGGTGATAATTAAAAGCCTTCACTGGTTTACCTATGCACGGCGTTTTGTTTTCCAGTAGTTCCTTATAACTAGTGGCTATGATGGCTACCGGCGACTGGGCATTGAAGTGACCTAATTTGACCAGCCGTTCGCAGGTCTTCATGAGCTGACTGGGGAACTGGGAAGGATCGATGCCGTAATCTCTCCAACCACCAACGCCATCTGCTACACCTGCAAAGGAAGAAAGGGGAAAAGAAAGAACAAATATGAAATGTAGCATTGTTAAGGCCTGGGGAACTCAAACGAATTTAGATAATACTTGAACGTTTCCATAGTGGAAAATCCATGGGTATTAAAGCTATAGTCCATCATTTGCAGCTATCCAAAAAGTAACTGGCGTAATTATTGTTGAAAAACATACTTGGTTGAAAGATAGTAAGTGGACAGAACTCCCTGTGAAATTAATCTTTCTGGCAAGGTATCATTTTGAAGTAATCAACAAGAGAAGGCCTTTCCAACGGTGCGTCTAAGACGCACCATAGGAAAATTTAAATTAGTAGTTCGTTTTGTTATTCGGCGCAGCGCCCGCAAGCATTGGCACGACGCACAGGCGCGCGCGGTTGCTATAATTCGTCGGAACAGTGCGAGACATCGCGTATAGCTGCAATTCAAAACAATTCAAAACATGATCCAGCAACTTTTGATTTGAAATTGAGATCCTAGAATGTTGTTTTTCTCGGAATATACATGTACATGTACAGCTGAAGCTGAGCTGAAACTTTATCAGGTTAGTTGTTCAGTATCCTTCATTAGATTTTGAACACTTTTGTTGCTTCAAACGAACAAAATGCACAAATTACAAATGATGGACTATATCTTTAACACTAACCCTCCTCAATCCTCCAAAATCAACCTGGCGGTTTGGGGGATTTTGGAATACAGGGTACAATTTATGTCGTTTCATTGCCAGTTGATTTTGGAGGATGCACCGTGTCAAGGTGCCTTGCATTCTTTATGAATAGCCGTATAAAAATTACGCCTACATGAATTCTAGATATCATCTGCACTGGTCTAACGTGTGTAAAAGTTGTGTCAGAGGATTCTGAAGGATTGAGGCAGCGGTCACCTCTCAACTGACTAAATTCAAGAAATAACAGTCGACTTTGGAGGATTGAGGCTGTATCCAAAAGCCTCCAATTGCCACCATGTAAAAACATGGTGGCAATTGGAGAATTGTGCAGGAGTGAGGATGGTTTCTACCCTAGGCTGTTAGGGTTAAGGATCTGCTCTAACCTTACATGTACATACACTTTGTGGACATGTGAACAAAGGATGACCACAGGATGCAGGAAGCGTGAACGCTTTGTGGACTTGCACACGTCCACACTAGGTTTCCCCCTCTCAGGAAAACAGTTTTGGAGGCATTTTTTGAGGCAGATTTATCCGTTGCAAAATGAAGAGGAACACTCAAGGAAATCATGATAAAAAAAATTGGGTTGAAAGAGCGTTTTAACATTTTTAGTGGGAGTAAAATGATTTTTTTTCTCCAGTTTTCTGAACTTCACGAATACAAAGGAATGTCCACACTAGGTGTGTAACGTAAACATGTCGGTGTGCATTAGAGCCTGTACTTTGAGTCTCTTGTATGGGAACGGTGTGTGGCTCTGCGAAAAAAACTAGTTGACCCAACTTTTCAAACAGAGCGCACTTAGTGTTGAATTGACAGGTTCTTCTCTAAACCACACTGACATGACTGAAGTGAACTCGGCACTTCTACTAGAGAAACACATACACAACTGTAGTGTTACCGCACACAATGTAAGTGTTTCTCTTACAAGTTCACTGATATTTAGGTATTCAAAGGAAATAGATCAATCTCTGCAAAATAAACAAAAAATTCTGTTTCACTTCGGAGCAGTCAGGGATCAATTTGTGTCATTCACCTCAGATTATTTGTTATTAATCTCATCAAAATAATCACACAAATGTCATCAAGCCTGAGCTCTTGGGCAAAAGTCGCACAGAAAAAAATCTTTAAAACAAAGTAACAATAACCTTATTTTGAGACGAGATGACTATAGCCTATTCAGTAGCCTATGAATTATATATGTTTTCTACAGAATAATTAGTGCACATGTCTTTTCCAAATCATGACGACACAGCTCTGTTGTAAAAACTCTGAATGAGTGAAGCAGTGAGGTACAGTACATGCAAGGTGCTGAACACAATCAATCTGATTTCCAATTTTATTCATTTTTTTATTTTCTACTTTTTCATTTATTTGTTTATTTGTTTGCTTGTTTACTTAGTTTGCCTTGTTTTTCTTAATGTTTCTGTTTTCTTAGTGGCTCTGTTTTTTCTTAATGTTTCTGTTTTCTTAATGGCTCTGTTTTTCTTAATGTTTCAGACTTTGCTATTTTTTTTTAGTCCGGGTCACAAAAGTACCTGTGAATTAAAGGGAATATACATCATTTGCTTTTGCTGTAATTTTCAGAAATGGATGGAATTGGGGGGTTGGAAATATAAAGCAAATATAGTTACACTAACTTTTTGGAGGTTTTGGGTTCGAAAATGCTATAAAAACCAAGAAAAACGATCATTTTCCTATAGTCTGGTTCCCTGACTCCATATAAGAAGAAACAGAGCAGTTTACATACTTTGGGGGAATTGTAAGGTCAGGGAACCAGTCTAGCTGGCTCGTACCCGTTTATAGGTTTGTAATCGATTGCAAACAAGTGCAATGGTCAATTGGGGCTAGTATTTGAAAAAAAGCCAGTTGTTTCCAACGCTGATCGGCCGATCAGCGTTGGAAATTGATACAAAAATACCACTTTTCTTGAAAATGACAGTATACCAGGTGCCATAATTTTACAGGATGCTTTAGACTGTCATTTACCAACATCCTGTTAAGGTATTTCGCAAGAACTTGGTAGTTTTATTTTTCGATGTTTGCAAATGTTGTATATTCCCTTTAACTAATTTCTCTGTAAAACACCCTGTCCTCTTTCTACAGGCCTGCAAATGGGAATTTAGAGGGGGGGGGGGGGGAGAGGAAACTCCGAACCACACGAGGCTTTGTACCATACAGTGTTTTTCAATTTGTAATTTGGCATTGACGAGAAGTAAAAAACGAGGAGATCAGCAGATCCAAAGAGAAGTTGCATGCCTGTATCTAGGATCATACTCTGTACTACATGATATCAGTCCACGGGTCTAAGAAGATTCCCTCATTGGAAATCAATATCACAGAATACTTGCAGGACACCGGTATGCATGCAGTGCACCACACAGTGAACCCTTGACTTGTGTGCGGACATCACGTACATGTACATGTACACACTGTGACATGCAAGGCAAACTGTCGGAACCAGTGGAATGGAAAATGAGTGCATTACGTTAATACGCTGCCAAGTCAGTGTAGGTTCAAGGACATGGTTAACAATACACTGGAGGATTGGATGAGCAATAATCTATTGCACAGGCCTGTCTATTGACGTACTATTGAGCGATAGTATTTGTAGAATGCAGCGGGCCGGATTTCTGTGCACTGTACAATACAATGGTAAAGTGACCTAGCACTTTATAACTGAGAGGCCATCTGGGGTAGCGCCTTTATAACTTAAAGCTATAGTCCATCATTTGCAGCTATCCAAAAAGTAACTGGCGTAATTATTGTTGAAAAACATACTTGGTTGGAAGATAGTAAGGGGACTACATGTAAACTCCCTGTGAATTTATTCTTTCTGCCAAGCTGTCATTTTGAAGTAATCAACGAAAGAAGGCCTCCAACGGAATTTCCAACGGTGCGTCTTAAGACGCACCGTTGGAAATTTCCGTTAGTAGTTCGGTTTTTTATTCGGCGAAGCGCGCGCAAGCGCATGCACCAGCGTTGACACGACACACACACGCGCGCGGTTGCTATAATTCGTCGGATCAGTGCGCGACATCGCGTAGCTGTTATCGGCTCAGTGAGAACGTGTCTTGGACGCTGAATTCAGGCCCAATTCAAAACATGATTCAGCAACTTTTGATTTGAAATTGAGATCCTAGAATGCTGTTTTTCTCGGAATATACAGCTGAAGCTGAGCTGAAAACTTCATCAGGTTAGTTGTTCAGTACCCTTCTTTAGATTTTGAGCACTTTTGTTGCTTCAAACGAACAAATGCACAAATTACAAATGATGGACTATATCTTTAACGGAAACTTCTCCAAAAGATCTCCTTTTTGAACTGCCTACATTTATATTTAATTTAACAGTTCCTCTAATGAACCTGCTTGAATATTTATCGTGTGATAATTACGATTTAAAGCTTTTCAGGTTGGAAAATCCCTGTGCCACAAGGTGGAATACAATTAAGTTACAATAAATTTACATAACTAATATATGTAACTGAACTGGAAAATCCTTTTTCAATACATTATGCAAAATGAGGCATATTAGATGAATTCAATACTGGAGACCTTGGGATTTGCAGTTCCTGCATAAATTTTCCTGGTAAATTAAATCTCTCAAAATGTGATCAAACAATGACTAGAGTACCGTACATGTACTCCGACACTGGCATTGCAGTCCTGTGTAATTGAACACTGTTCCAAAATTAAAAGGAAAAAAAAGAAATTTACCAGTACGTTCTACATTGTACGGCTGACACCAATCAAGGCAATTTGTCCCCAACAAGGCCACAAAAAAAGTACTTCTGCTCCCGATTACATGGCATTAGAAAATAGGGTAGGAACCGGTAGGAAATTTATTTTTTTTGGCCAATTTTTTTGTGTACGATCGTATGGAGGCGTCTGCGTGTAGTCAAGGGTAAAAGGTAGAAAGTGATGGTTTGGGGTGCTTTTTTCTCATTTTTCCAATAAAAAAATTAGGGTAGGGGCTGTCAGAATAGGGTAGGTAGGGAAACTGTAAGCAGAACTCTTTTTTTTTTTGGCCCAATCTTTCTTTCAAACCAAGGCTGAACACCTTTTGTGTGTGCACATGTACATTGTACATACACGTACATGTATACCGGAACATCACTGATTTCTTTCTGTTCCATTAAACCCACTCTGCACGTACACCTTCTTCAAAACAGGAAATTACATGTAATGCAATTTACATGTATAAAGGAATACAGTAAGGACAAGGTGCAAAATGCCAACAAAAACTACCAAATCATTTTGAAATACCTTGCTGGACTGTTAGTGACTGACAGTGTAAATCATCCTGTAAAATCATGGCTCCTGGT